GCTTCCATGGAAAATTCAGACTTTCTTTTTGACGCTGCGATTACATAAAAAAATAAACTTTGAGGCTCCATAGCTAAATACATGGCAATTGAATCATGAGCCGAGATCATAAAGAGCATACTGCGAGTAGGAAGTGGAATTAATACAATGAATTCAAAAGCATCTTTTGCAATTGGATGTACCACTCTCTCTCTTTCAAGCTTCAACCGACCCGAAGAGGTTGTTTGTTCTTTCATTTTCTTGTCCACCCTCCCCACCAACATCCTTTGTATGCGAATCGGATATCCGCTGGTCTGCAATATTCACCCTAGCCCACAAGCACAAATACTTGGCGCGGAATATAATCCCAAAGTACTCCGAAGACTCAAAAATTGTAAATCAAGAAGGTGGTAAGACCCTTGCAGAGTTCCCCAACAGCTTTGAAGATTTCCAAGAAGATTTAACATGTTAAGTAAATAACTCGTGGAGTGAGCTGAAGTTTGGGGATGCAGATGAAGAAGGGATCAATTATTGCAAGCTCTAGATTATTTTGATAGCTTGAAGAGTGAAAGACCCACATCTCTTGATTAGAGGGTGAGTCAAGAAATAGCCAAGATGTTGCCAACCTGCTGTTGATGGAGGAAATCAAAGATCTAGGGCTACTTGGATAAAGGAGCACGAGAGGAAGTAGGTTCTTCAATAGTCTAGCTAACGTCTATAAATGTTACAACTATATTGAGAAGTGACTGTGAGTTACCAAGAGATGGAGAGTAATGGAGAGCTGAGAGAGGCCATCAATGGATGTTTTGAGAAACTCTATTAGGAACCCTTCCTTCGGCAACCAAATCTCAGTGACCTGGAATTAGACTATCTGCGTGAGCATGAGAGGAATGGCTTAAGAGACCTTTTTCGAGGATGAAATTCTTGAAGCCATTGTGAACTATAAAGGGGATCAAGCACCAGAACCAGAATGTTTCTCTACAGCTTCTTTGTAATAGAATTTGGCGATATTGAAAGACAATTATTTGGGCTCTCTAATTTTTTTGAAAAAGGGGTCTTTTGTCTCAAGCCTCAATTCTACCTTTTTGATTCTTATCCTAAAGTTGATTGTGACTCAAATGTCAAGAATTTTAAACCTATTAATTTGGTAGGATATGTTTACAAATTCATTGCAAAGCTTCTTGGCAAAGACTAAAGTGTGTTACAGGCAGTGTGGTGGATGAGTTTCAAAATATTTTTGTGGAGAGAAATTCTGATGCTAGTTCAATTCCTAACAAAGTGGTCGATTTGATTCATCAAAGAATGGGAAAGGTGCTGGTATACAAAGTTCATATGGAGAAAGTTTATCATCATGTATCTGGGAGTTTCTATTTTATATTTCGCAAAGAAACAGATAAAATGACATATGGTGTTCTTGAATGAAGGCTTGCATTTCTACCACCTTTTGTTACAGCTACCGTTGATGGTGGCTCTTTGGGTTTCTCCAAAACCTCAAGGAGCCTAAGGAAAGGGAACCCCCTATCCCTTTTCCTCTTCATCATAGTTATAAACCCTTAGAGAGACAGATTGTCAAAACCAAGGATCAATGGTTGAGCTTTGCTGGTGAGGAAGGGTGAGGGAAAATGGAAATGACTCATTTCCAATGAGGTAGCTAGAAGAATAAATTGAAATATTATAGTATTGCTCTTATTCTATCATGGAACTCAAGCAAAGACTAACCTTTTACAAGAAAAAGGATAAGACTACAAAAATAGGAGCCTTTCACATCACATGGCCCCAACTTATCCAGTACCTAGGTTTCTGTAGTATGCATTTTCAAAGGTTCTAGGAACAAGTATCCATGCAGAGTACTGATATTTATCTTCTATCATGATATCAATCAATTTGAATTTTTAGTCAAACAAATCATACAGCTGGCTTGCACCTATTACCAAGTAAGATAAAAGGTATTCCCAGTTATTTAAGCTTATTGATTGATCTTAATGAAAACATACAAATTTATACCTATCTTCCTGAAGTATGACGGTTGTGATTTCATTTAAGCTGCAATTAAGATCATTTTGCTACAAGAGCTATAAGATGCACATAAAAATTGCAGACCTTCTCCAGCCACTTCCACATTATCAGATATTTGCTGCTTCTCTTGAGTGCTAATTGAACCTGCTTCAGTTTCCTCTTGAAGTGCAATATTAAGGGGCCTTGACGGAACAGTATCTCCATAATCTTCATTCAATTTTGGACCTATTGCTGGCTGTTACAAAGTGATGTAGTCAAAATGGAAAGAGAAGGAGAGAGGGGAGAAAAAAGAGACTGCACATAAAAGAGAGAAATCAACGTACAATGTTCCCTGATTCAGAAGGAGCAACACTTTGTGATTGAGTAGCCATTGAAGCCCTGATTTTCTTGGCCTTCTCAATCTTTGGAAACATTGCGGAAGCTCCACTTTTACACTTCTCAATAAATTTGTGCTAAGTATAAAGCCACAAACAAAATAATCTCAGGTTAAAATACAGGTATATAAACTATTTCAAAAAAATATAGGTATAGAAACATTGACAACAATATATTGCATGCATCTTCTGTAAATAAATATAAGGTATAAGGCACTTTCATAAAAAGCATGTAAAAAAAGTTCTATGAAAAAGGAAACATTGATAAACATAGAGAAAGACGTTACAAAATAAGAGGGTAAAAACTCCTTCTAAGCCAAAAAAAGAAACAGAAACTAAAAAAGAAAAAACCAATAATATCAATACAGAGCTGCAACCCAGGTCATTTATAATATAGCTTAAGAAACATTCCTAAAGTACCCCATGCATCTTCGCCCACAGGAAAGCCAAGAAAACCATTTCTATCCCTGAGAAGAGACAAAGTGAAGTAGCAATCGTAGAAGAGTAATGCCAAACTCCAAACACAACACCTATATACCAGCAAAAAGAGCTCTCTCTATGCTCGAGAGCATACTAGCTTCCTTCTTCTTCCCAATTCCATAAGGGACGAAAATAAGGAAACAATCAAGGGATGGAGGAAATCCACATGATGCTAAAGTATCAACAAACTTAGGCAAAAGTCTCCAAGCCACAGAAGGAAAAAAAATGTTACTGCAAAGTATTTCTAAAAAAATAGTTTTGACTTTGGTTTCATGCATCAAAATATTAGTCCAGAGTCAGTTATACAGCAAAATTCCCAACAGTAAAAACAATCAAAACATCTTCTGCAGAACAGGAAAAATATTAGAATGGACATTTGCAACTACTAAATTGTAGCACATATTCAGAAGATTTATTAAAGGGAAGGAAGTCTGTGCATTGCTTTTGCCTTGGCATGGTGGGTTGGGTGGAGGGGGGAGTCCCACACCATACACTACAATATATTTGGGCCTAGAGCACCTTTTCATATGGTATTCATGTAAAATTGGATTTTCCTTTTTGTGATATATAGATGAAAACCCCTAGTTGTAAGTGCTTGTTCTTCACACACTAAAACCTTTCACAAGTGACAGAATAGACATATTTCCATATCAAGTTAAAATTCTTTTTGTTCTTTCGTTCTCTATCATTTTACTTTAATTTGTATGTATTGGGCGGGTAGTTTCACAACACCAATGTAATGGAATATTCCTGTGACTTTAATGTGAATGTATCATCAATTTGGAACTATTAAAATAAATTTAGTTCTAGTTTAGGAATTTTAACTTGTAGTTCGTTAGAAGTCTTATTTTGTTAATTTTTTCTTATTTAAGAATCCTAATATCAGGCTTCATAGACACCCTATAAATATATTGGTGATTTCTCATTTATTGAACAATCTGCTTACGAATAAAAATCTAATACTCTTGTTGAATTGAGTGCCTAACAATGTATAATTGTGGTTGTGATAATTCTGTTACTGTAGTTATTGCCCTTCCTTGTAATTGGGCATTAGCTTTATCATTTCTTTTCTTTGTTTTTTAATCCTTTTAAACTTCGTTCCACTGTGCTACACCAATATCATATTACCTTCAACATCTCAGCTGCAGTAGGGCGTAGACGTGGTTCTTTTGTGAGGCATTTTGCAACAAAGTCATGAAAGACGAGAGACCTGCAAAAGGAAATAGTTCAAGTTGAAAGACTAGCATATGATACTTACTACGAGCTTAAAACTATTTTATTTAAACCCAGAATTATTATAACTTCTATTACAAGGTCAGGGTTGCTGGTAGGCTTAGAAACCATAATGTTAAAGATGTCTAGTTATCTAGTAATCCTACTTGGGAAATTCAAGAAGGCTCTTGATTCGGGTGAAAATGGGTTTCTTTGTGAAGTAATGGGCCAAAGCATGTCTTTTAATATATACATACATCCCATGGAACATAAGAATTGATCTCTGAAGGCAAAGCTGAGGTTGTAGTAACTAAGTGATTCAACAGTTTCCCATTTTACGACAACATGCTTTTTGAGGAAAGGAAAGATAATAAAATTAAAAATATAGCATTAGTTATTATAATTACAGGGGAAGATTAGTGAGTCAACAATGAAAAGAAACATAAAAGATGTCAGCAAGTATACGAATGGATAATTCTGTATCATTCTTAACATCGGTGATGGCCATTATTTTTGAAAGCTTTCTTTAACTTTGGAAGAGACAAGATATTCATGACGGGTATAAAAAGATAACAGGGATTTGGAAATATGTGTGAGTCACAGAACATAAGAGTGGAACTATCCACTTAGAGGTAGAGCCAACAAGGCTCATATCATATGGAATAAAAACCAATTATCACACTTAAACACAGCTATCCAACGAATAGAAGCATTAAAAGAAATAGAAATCATCAAACTGAGCTGCCAATGCCATTCAGGACGTGCAAAAAGATAGGAGGGCCTCTGATTCAACTACATGCAGCCCTTAACCAAAGAAAAATTTCAAACTTATGAAGCTTATCAGAGAGCTAAAATATGGATGGCAATGAAATTTTTGTTGGTTTATAATTCACTTGCAGATGATATCCTCAAGAAAGAAAATACTGACCATTTTTCTTTATCCTCGAGCATCGGAGCTGGCTCAATAGATATCATGAACAAAACCTATCACATAAAACAGATATGTTATCTATCTTAATCAGTCTCTAAGAATGAAGAGGAAAGCTATCGTTCGGGGCAAACTGAAGAAAAAGCTGAAGTAAGCCATAGAATTAAGTGTATTTGTGTGTGTGTGTGTGTAACAACAACAAAGAATAGTGGACATTACACAAACTCCCCCACCATGGTACATTCCCACTGCTAACAGTTCAACAGAACATCTCTACATTATCTCTATCATATGCTGAAAGCCACAACTTCAGAGTGTAATATAAGCAACCAGGGCAGATAATCATGAGAAACATTTTATACGTCTCTATACAGTTACCCTGAGACGCATAGTGCCAAAGTAAAAACTAGACATAAGACAGCTGGATAATATAGAACTTAAAGAAAAAGCAGAGGTTTCTCATTAACAAATTATAAAAGCTTGGAATTGATATTTTCTAGTGAATTATTTCAAGTTTCTGTCATTATTTTTTCTCTGTATCA